TGTCTTTTAGGATGTGTCTAATTCTTAATGTTTGATCCCAAGACAAACATGAGATTGAGACACCCAGATGTGTTTTTATCCCATACCCCAATATCCATCAGTGCTCACGGAGTTAAATGGGATGGTGCAAAGGCACAAAATTCCAGAGCCTCAGGAAAAGCACCTTCGCCAAGCCATGGTATTGGATTACCTGGCATGCTGTGAAATTCATAATCAGCATTGTTCTCAGATTCAGGAAAGTGGCATTCTTCCCCAACTTTATCTACTTTCCCAAGTCTAAGAGGAAAATCTGCATTCGGACTTCCCATTGACAGTGAAAAGTTGGGTGATAACAGCTTCTCTGTGCACACTCCACCCACCCGCCAGGTAACTAAATGGCCTGAACTTCTCTTGGCCATTAAAAAAAAATAATAAAAGAAAGAAAGAAAGAAATCTTGGGACGCCTGTGCGGCTCAATTGGTTAAGCATCTGCCTTCAGCTCAGGTCATGTTCCCAGGGTTCTGGGATGGAGTCCCACATCGGGCTCCCTGCTCAGTGGGAAGCCTGCTGCTCCCCCTGCTTGTGCTCTCTCTCTCTGACAAATAAATAACATCTTTAAAAAAAAATCTTGGGCGCCTGGGTGGCTCGGTTGGTTAAGCGACTGCCTTCAGTAGAGGTCATGATCCTGGAGTCCCGGGATCGAGTCCCACATCGGGCTCCCTGCTCAGCAGGGAGTCTGCTTCTTCCTCTGACCCTCCCCCCTCTCATGTTCTCTCTATCTCATTCTCTCTCTCAAATAAATAAATAAAATCTTTGGGGCTCCTGGGTGGCTCAGTTGGTTAAGCGACTGCCTTCAGCTCAGGTCATGATCCTGGAGTCCCGGGATCGAGTCCCACATCGGGCTCCCTGCTCAGCAGGGAGTCTGCTTCTTCCTCTGACCCTCCCCCCTCTCATGCTCTCTCCATCTCATTCTCTCTCTCAAATAAATAAATAAAATCTTTGGGGCGCCTGGGTGGCTCAGTTGGTTAAGCGACTGCCTTCAGCTCAGGTCATGATCCTGGAGTCCCGGGATCGAGTCCCACATCAGGCTCCCTGCTCGGCAGGGAGTCTGCTTCTCCCTCTGACCCTCCTCCCTCTCATGCTCTCTGTCTCTCATTCTCTCTCTCTCAAATAAATAAATAAAATCTTTAAAATAAATAAATAAATAAAATCTTTAAAAAATTAAAATTAAAAAAATCTTACTTTGACTATATAAACTTAGAATTGTAACATTAAAAACACTGGCCTTTGGAGATTTAAAGACTCTCAAAATTGGTGACACATCTATTTTTACAAACTGAAAAAAGTATTTAAAGTGTGTATGTCACTATATATTATATACACTCACACACATTTATGTGATATTATTATGATATAGATATGACAGTAAAACAATGAAAATAGTTTATAAGAAGCCAAGAATCACTGTAACTTGGAGTCATTGATAGTAGATTTAGATAGCCCTACTTACCTTAAAAATTCCCAATAAAACCATGGTTAAAAATGTAACATTAAGTATTTTGTTATAATGACTCTGACAATTCAATAAAAATCTGAATTATTTTCAGTAACTCCTCTAAAAAGGTAAAACATACATTTAAAAATTTATGAACTTATGATCTAAAATATTTAAATAGGAACTTTCTTGGCAATAGAACATAGCTATGCTTATGTGGATTCATTTCCAATCCTGTTTACAAACAAACAAACAAACAAAAAAAACAAGATTCGTGCAGATAGCTATTTAAGTAAAGACTGATCACGACCCTCTGAGTGCCCCACGAGACCTGATCTGTGTCATACTCATCATTGTGCCATCAATATCTTGTGTAATAACTGAAACACAAATCCTTCCAGGAAATCTGTATAGCCACGTCCTCTTGGATAGAGTATCCTTGGACTCAAACTTCATATTTTGTCAGGTAGAATTATTACTCACTTTTGAGAAGTGGACCTGAAGAAACCATCTGTTCCCACTTGAAACCCTAGGGTAGACTTAATTTCTCCCAGCCCCAGTCCATCCCAGCACTGACTTCCTTCTCAATAGTGAGGACCAAGAGTGCCTCACAGCTGGGCTCCTTCAAGATCTAACAATTCTCTACTCTAAAATTTGCATCACCCAATTGCTACCACCTCTGGGAAACTGTATGAGGCACTTGTAGCAGTTCATTCTAGGCCCCTGGAGTTCCTCTTGGGGAGATAATGAAGATATGTGCCAAAGTTAAATGAGAGTAAAACCCAAGGGGTGAGCGCAAAAGCAGCCATTCAGAGTGATAGAAATGACAAACGCTGTAATATAGGGACACAGTGCTGAGGGCACTGGGTGATGTAGATGCAGGGAGGATCTAGGAGGGAAAAAAAAACTGGGACAGGATAAGACTTTGGTCAAAAGAAAAATAATAACAGAAACAAATAACACAGCAACAGATCGTTCCTGCCAAAAGTGGTGAAGGTGCCCTCCAATCAGTGATGATGGGAATACTCAGAACCTATTCATCTGAAGTAAGGAGTGACAAATCAGAAGATTCTTGTTATTGCTAGTAACCTTCCACAAGATGGTATAGAAAGGAATACAGACGTCAGGTTGGCTAAACCAGAAGCAAAGAGGAAAAGATGGAGGTTTGAGTGAGATGGAACCATGTGTGAGGATATATTTAGAAGAGTAAATTTTAATTGTTTCCATTGAGTAAATCTTGTTTTCCCATCTAGACTGCCAGATCCTACAGGACAGGGACAACATCTTGTAAGTGTTGGAAAACACAGCATATACAAAATCATGTCCAACTTGTCTAAACAAGAGAAAACAAATTTGTCTAAAGTCACAGAGGTAGTAAATGTCAGAACACTTTGACACTAGAGTTCTATTGACCCGCCTACATCAAATGTACGCTTTTTTGTCTGATACGCATTTTATATATGCTTCATTCTTAGCTTCATTTTAAATTTCTTCTGTTGTCTATTCTTGTTCTTATCCATTCATAATATCTTACGTTGTTATAGTCTGTGAATCTCTATAAGCCATACTATGTCCTTTCAAGCAGTTAAATGAGACACGAATGTTATTTATGTGAAACACACACTTTGTGTCTCTCTCTCTCTCTCTCTCTCTCTCTCTCTCGCACACACACACACACACACACACACTTACCCTTAGGTGGAATGATTTGCGCTTTGTAGTTAGAGGTTGGTTCACCTGCTCTTCAATCTCTGGGAATTCTGAAAGACAAAATTCTATCTTTCCACATTGCTTAATAAATAAATTACTTAGGAGCCCAAGTAAATGCAGACCCCTATTAAAATCTGGAGTCTCTCTACTATCCTTCTTTTTCGTATCATCTCACCTTAATACTTTCTCAACTGACCACTTCCTGTGGGTCTCCCTTTATCACCAAGTCTCCACTCCCTTACACCAAGTTCAAGGACTCAGAATGAAGACAGAGGTACCCCCCTGGGTTTTAAGTCAAGCGTTTCTGTTATTTACTGCAGTTTCATTACTTTTGATCATTGGGAGGCATGCTGGCATATGGGAATGGAAATTTAGATTGAGTCACTTTCAGCAATGTCAAATGAGCTATTAACAGAACCAAATTCTATGGTGTCCTAGTTGATTTTGGAATATGGCTTTCAATGTCTCAGCACTAAATGACCTCTGAGTTTGATGGAAGTCTACCAATAAAAAATAAATAGATAGGAAATAATAAAAATGACATACTGGGAATTTAAAATCATAAATACATGCAAATTCATCTCAAAGAGGATTAATCAATCATTAAATAATTAATGAAGACTTAATGTTTTGTCAGAACTGTCCTATGCACAGATGTGAATGAAGGAACAGGGAAACTTTAAGTCTTAATTGCTGAAAACATGGAAGACATATGAAATGTTGCATAAAAAAGGGTGAAATGGGGAGAAAAATAAAAGTGCTAATGTATATGGTAAAATTAATATGTATAAATACATATGTATAAACATCTATATTTACATCTATGGGTCTCATTACTCTAGGAAGTGATGTAAAATGAAAATATTAATGCTTTTGGAATGGAACACTGGGATAATCAAGGGACAGGGGTACAGGAATCCCAGATCCAGCTCTGGTTTGGCCACCAGTGAACTTTGTGGCTGGGAAGTTCATGTCTAGGTCTAGTTCTTCATCTGTGAAATAATGGAAATTGGATTATTTTTAAACTGAAAGAAATGTTATGTTGTGTTATGTTATGGAATACATAATACATTTCTTGATATTAAATACTGACTTATTTATCAAAAGAAATTAGAAATATTTGAGTTGCCAGGAAATAAACTGAGGGTTGCTGGAGTGGTGGGGGGTGGGAGGGATGGGGTGACTGGGTGATAGACATTGGGGAGGGTATGTGCTATGGTGAGCGCTGTGAATTGTGTAAGACTGTTGAATCATAGACCTGTACCTCTGAAACAAATAATACATTATATGTTAAAAAAAAAAAAAAAGAAGATAGCAGGAAGGGAAGAATGAAGTGGGGGGAATTGGAGGGAGAGATGAACCATGAGAGACTATGGACTTTGAGAAACAAACTGAGGGTTCTAGAGGGGAGGGGGGTGGGTTAACCTGGTGATGGGTATTAAAGAGGGCACGTACTGCATGGAGCACTGGGTGTTATACGCAAACAATGAATCATGGAACACTACATCAAAAACTAATGATGTAATGTATGGTGATTAACATAACATAATAATAAAAAAAAAGGAAAAAAAGAAAAAAGAAGACATAATTGAGTTGCTCCTACCTTGAGAAGTAGTATTAACAGAGGCAACAGTGGTCTCCTCAAAGTGTCCTTTAATAAACTGAGAGACAGGCATGGGCAGAAGGGCAATGGAACCAAGTTCGAGAAGGATATTTTAAAGTGCTTATATTTTGAAAAAATATGAACAATAATATAACTGAAAAACCATACTGTTGGATTAGAATTTTTATAACATTCCTCCACTTCTTTTTACAGGGACAATGCATAATACATTGACGAAGTCTCCAGGATTTGAAGCTGGACCAAAACCCAGCTATAGCATTTATTAGCTACTTCACTTCGAACAAGTTAACCTCTCTAGGAATCAATGATCTTACCAGAGAAGCACAGGTAAAATTATCATCTAAATCATTCTTGTGAGGGGAAAGTTAAGTACAACAAGCATTCAACAAAGTATAAACATTCTGATACTCGTACTTACCCAGATCTGGAAGAATAAATAGAATGCTTATTATTAAATTGGAAGAGGCATCACCACAACCTGGAAAACTTGGTTGTTTTAACTATCTTTAAAATGCTAGCATACTCGTACCAGCTGATCACCATTTAGATGCAATCTACACTTTCTCCCTAAAATTAACATTACCCAAAAGTTGGTCATTATGGACAGTGAGTTTAGCCTTCACTTTAATCCATCTTTCTGGGAAAAGAAATCTCCATGGTTGGTCCCATCCACGTTCATTGTCTGGCCTATGGACTGTGTCTTACTGTCCTCCTTAATGCACAGGTACAGGTGATTTCTTCATCTAAGAGTCTGCAAGGCTGGTTTTTCTGTTTGTTTTTTTTTCTTCTCTTTTCCTGTCAAACTCTTTGAGGGCATTGGGCTGACAGTTCTGGGTCGGACTGAGTTTAATCTTTTCCTTTCAAATCAAATTATGGGGAAAATGCCAGGGAAATGGCTCCCTAACAGCTGGCATTGTTCAGAAATCACGGAGCTTGGTGAATTTGTAAGATAAGTGTCTAAATTGTGGAGAAAGGCAGACAGCTTCCCCTCTTGGACTGATATCTGAGCAACTAATGACTAAATGACTCCATTTTGCTCTCCACACAATGGCCTGTCCCGGAAAACTTGAGATGCTCTTGGGGTTCAGTGGCCTCTCCAAAAATCAGCCTGCCTAAAAGCTGGTTTGGGGTCTTCCCCACTGCCTTTGCTCCCTATTTGGTAATTTTATAACTTCTAAAACTGGTAAGAAGAGGTGAGGGTAGATACCTGCCTTGAGTAATGTGAAATCCACTGGAACCTCCCTATCGACACACAAAGAAAAATGCCTAAGAAAATAGAAAGTACTAGTAGAACAAAAGCCAAAAAGGGAGAAACAACTTTTAAAATATTATTGGAGAGGCACCACATTCACATTAAATACTAAAATATTAAAATTGATTGAGGTTGTGAAATAAGTGAATTACTTAGTCTCCCATGCATTAAAATTAATTTTTCATCTCCTTCTCCAGGCCACTTCCCACTGGCTTTCGTTGAGCCCTCTTAATATTTTATTTGCTGAAGGGAAAAGGTTTCCTTTTGACATATTGGTGTTCCTGGGGTTGGTTGACTATCTCACTGCCAACTCCATGAGAAGATTTCTCAGTCCTAGTGAAGGAACAATAAAGAATAAAAGATTTGCTGTACGTCCTAAACTTGGCACATTTTTTTTTTAACCAGACCCTCTCCTAAAGACTGTTATCCATGGGGCCATTCCCTTTGCATGTTACATTCCCACCTTTCTAACTCTCTTCAAACCTCCCCAACCATTAATCTGTTGGTAAGTCACCTAGAGAAAAAAAACAAAAAACTGAAAGACAAGTTGAGGTCACTACATTTGAGCTGTCCAAACCAGCTTTTACATTTCGTTATTTGGAACTCTGGGAAGGGGGTTGCTTCTTTGGGGATTTAGAGAAGCCAAGGCATGATGGTCCCTGAATTCTGGAGCTCAGGAACTAATATGGCAGATCCTCTGTAGTTAGGAGGTGAATTCAAAGGTGGTACACAGGTATCAAAAGCAGAGTGGATAAATGGTCCAGAGAAGGCAAACAGGGCTCAAATCACTGGAGATGGGCTTTGGAGACTTACGAGGATGTTAATCATAAAAACCTCCAAGCTTCCGGTCTCATGCTCACAAGCTAAATTTGAACTCTTTGCTGTAATGAAAGTTTACACATGTGAGGAAGGAGGTAAGATAAGAAACACTCAAAGTCTCTTCAGAATGAAGTGGGATTCCAAACTCTCGATCATTCCCAAAAGTTCCTTCTTCATGGCCATGAGAGTAGAGCAATGCTTTTGTGCGCTGTGGTCATACAGTCTTAGATCAAGAGAGGACTTTGACCCTGGTCTAGTCTAAAATCTGTTTTCCAAATGTCATATAACTGCAGCACATGGAAGGGACCTGACTTGCCCCAGTCAATACAGAGTTAATCCCTGAGCCCCCACTGTTTCCCAGGTGCCCAGTCCAGGACCTTTGCATAGCTCATTTTTAGGGCAACTGGTGATGGGTATATGTCTTCTTATTCTTAAGGTTCATTCCCCTAAGATTAGGGGCTAAGGCAGAAGCCGTGCTATTTCAGGTCACTTGAATCCAAAGAAGATGGTACAGATATATTATTTGTTCATAACAGTAACACAGTCTTGACTTGGTTCAGTATTCAGACTAAAACTTTAAGTTATAAAACCAATAACTAGTCTTGTACATGCAAAACTATCAGTATGTAGTTAAATCCTGTGGTGCTTATTGGAGAAGAATCAGAAGTCATCAGCCCCACTCATCCTATAAGGAAATGTTGATCCAATTCCATTTTTCATATGAAGTCACACTATTGGCCAGTCATGGGGCCCAGTCATGCCCCGTTGCTAGTTGTGTGCTCTGTCTTCTGTCCCCAAAAGCGATAAGATATATTGTAGAATGTATTTCATGAAGGACATCAATTAAAAGGAAGGTTTCCAAAGCTTCAACAGAAGGGAACCCTAACCCATGCGATGGTAATAGCGGTTACAAGAATCAAGAGAAATTCCATAACAATAACAAAAACTATACTAAATAGAGCTTAACACATTTTTGTGAAGAAGAAATTTTCAAACCCTTTAATATCTTGTTGAGCTTTACAAACATTTAAGAGTATATATACTAGGCCTGTCACAAACATATGTGACCCTGGAAATCATCAACTGAGGAGCATTTCAAGTGAATGTTAAGACACAGAATGCACCATAGGAAACCAATTTAGTTAGTGTCCATGGCATCTCACTATTCTCCGTCAGAGTTGCCAGATTATCAGGTAAGAACATAGAGCTGAAGTTTAGTCCTCTCAACCACCAATCCCCTTTGGAAATCTACAATGAAGATCTCTCAATTCTCAAGATTTTAACAGTCAACTCATTGTGAATGTGCTAAAATCACAATATGTAATTTGTCTTCTCAGATCAGACCTTCACTTTAGGTCTAAATCTCTTAACCTGTCCACAACCCAGCTGTGATCTATTTTTTTTTTTCACATTAATTACAATCATAGTCCTTGTTCTTATCACACTTACGCATTTTTGTTCCCATAATGACCATGGCTGTTTTAAGATCTTGTCTTTACTTATACTGTTCTTCTTATCTGTAATGAATTGTTTTCTTCTTCCTCTCAGTCTAGTACAGTCCTCACTGAGGTGACCTTATACCCTATCTCTTCTCTAAGTCATCAGCATCCCCAATTCAAAAGTGAGTTTCTTTTGCTATAAATGTTCACAGTATCATTTACTTTCTGCCTTGTTTTGTTAGTTATATTTTCACAGGTTTGTGTTTTATCTTCCTATTTCGATTATAAATTCTTTTATTCGTCTTTTTTTTTCTCTGTCATCATGGAGCTTGATGTCTGCTTATAAAGCACTTCAAGTAATTGTCAAGGTTAAATGAAACATAGGAGTTGAAGTTCTATCAAATAGATTGAGATCAGATTAGAAAGTGCCTTTAAAGCCATATAGAGGACTTTGGACTTAATCTGATAAATGGAGATGTTCTGGATTTCTTCTTAAAGAGAAGGGGTATGAAAAAAAGACAGCCTCATCCCTGGTTGGATAAGCAATGTAGCTTGGTGGTCATGGGTAAGCATTCTGAATCATACTTCCTAGGTCTGAGTCCCTGCTCTGTTTCTTCTACCAATGTGAAAGTTAGTAAACTCTCTGGCTCTCAGTTTCCTCATCTGTAAAATTAGAATACAGTGTTCCTACGGTCATTGTGAAGTCTGGATGAAGTAATCCATGAAAAGCTGGAAAAGCAATGCCTAGCACCTAGTGAACCCTCAAGAAACAGTAGCTAGCATTGTAACTAACCAAACGGAGAAGTGAAAAGAGCATTGGTCTGAACATCACGAGACCTGGGCTCTGCTACAGTTTGAAGAAAAGGTGCAAATGAGGTCAAGTATTACCAGTAGAGGAGCTTGATTGGCATTCAAGAAAAACGAGCGTGTGTTTGGTGAATTTACCATTCTCTGCACCCTAGGCTTACAGGCTTGAAATCAGACTTGTAGCAGAACAAATGCATTAATCAAGCTTACTGAGATAATCTATAAACACAGAAGCCCAATTCATTAATTTACAATGAGAAATATAACTATTAAGTAGATGGGATGTCAGTGTTTATGGATAAGCATGTTCTCTCCTGTGGACAAGTATATACCGGAAGCCAAATCATAATCCTAGAATTGTCTGATGAAAGGGAAACAGCAGGAGAGAAAGGGGGTGACCTCGACATATAATCAAGTTCATAGCTGGATATATCCCACTCTGCTACAGACACATACCTATCACTCCAGAGATGCCAAAACACATTCCCCATCTCCTCCTTCTAGCGATAAAGAACACTACATTTCCTTAGCTTCTGATAGGTACCTTTATAGATGCCATGCATACCATTGTTTCCTTGTTACAATGCAGTCGTTTGGATGGATGTTTTCTAAGTGCAATCAACATTTATCTGAAGTTCTGTCTGAATGCTATGATTGAATTCTTGATGTTCATAGATCATTTTTTAGGACAGTTTTAAGATAGTTATCTTCTCCTTAAACTTTTTTTGGTGAGCCTCTGGCTTCCCTGAGAGACTCAGCAGAAAGGATTTCTGTATCCCTTCCACTTTGAGTCTTCCTAAATCTGTCCTTCGATGCGTATTACTTAGCTGGTGTTGCATAATAAACTACCTCAAAAGGCATTGGTTTAAATGTTTATTTTGAGCCCCTTTGTTTGCTAAAGACCCTCTGGATTAGCATCTGGGATTGGGCTCAGCTGAGTCTGTTTCTCTCCACATGGAGTCAGCTGCATTTGCACACATGTCTGGCCTCAGACACGGTGGAGACGGCTG